CTCGGGCACGTTGAGGAACTCCAGAGGCTGCAGAACGGACTCGGGCTCGTTGAGGAACTCCAGAGGCTGCGGAGCGGACGGAAGAGACGATGATGAGAAGATGACGGGGCCAAGCGCTCTCTCACGCGCTCGAGCTCCACCTCCCACACGGTACCGCCATATTTCGGACTGGCGCCCGATCTGCGCAACAACAGCCGGCGCCACTCTGCGCCGCACAAGCCCCAGGCCAAACTCCGAGGCGTCAGAAGCGACGACCTGTGAGTGCCAGGGCGACATGAGGTCCGTCTGCAGCAGCGGAAGGAGGCAGCGGACCTGCCAGAGCTCGCGCCTCACGCTCTGCCACAGCATGATGGGCTCGCTCCCCGCCTTGGCAGCGAATGCGTAGGCAGCCTGCACCAGACACAGCGACTCACGTCTCAAAAGCGCGGCCCAGGTGACGTGGCCGAGGAGCACCTTCATGAGACCCCCACTGCACCTTCCAACGCGAAGCAGCTTCTCAATGGCGAGCCGCAGCCGCCACAGGCACTTGGGGCGAGTAGCCAGGAAGCGGCCCTCGGTCAAGCTCAGCCCCAGAAACTCCGCGTCGCGGGAGGCGGACTCCTGGTCGTGGACCACCAGGCCGAGCTGCACCAGCTGCTCCTTGACCGCCTGTGCCCTGCGGTTGGCCACCTCCGCGCACGTGTCAATCACGAAGTAGTTGTCGACGTAGCCCGCCGCTGCCGATGGGCCGCCACGCTTCACCTGTTGGCCAGGCTGGCCGTCCTCCACGAGGCAGCTGGGCTCGAAACCACCCAGGCTTAGGCCACGCCGAAGAACACCCTGGCAGAGGTGAAGCGCCCAAGAGAAACCCATGGGCAGCACGCGGAGGCACGGAGTAATGGGTTCCCCCAGCCCCACTGGCAGGTCGGTCACCCCGCAGTTCAGCAAGAACCCCGCGTCCAGGCTGGGCAGAGAGAAGTGCTGCACCATGTCGGGCGGCACCAGCATATGGTAGAAGGCGGCCTCCAGGTCACCAGAGGAAACGTAGACCTGCTGGTCGGCCTCCAGCGCTCCGAACGCCGAAGGCGTTGGAAGACGAGTGGAAGGCGCGGGCAAGAAGTCGCAATTGATGACCCGTGTGTCGAAGATGATCCTGAGGCGCTCATCCTTGCGTCGCACGAAAAAACAATCCGAGGTCGCCGCCATGCCCATGCTTCCAAGTGAGCATTCCCCGACGCCAAGCCTCTCTGAGAAAGGTATCATAGTCGCGAACATTGTGCTTCAATAGCGGGTCGACGTATGCGCCCCGCGGACACGCCTCAGCGCGGAGGCTCCGAGCGGCCTGGGAGGGTCGTAGCATGTGCTCCTTCCAATCCCTGAGCCACGAGGCGTCACAGTCCCCGAGCAGGTCAGTCAAGTACACCCGCTTGCTGGAGAGGGACGGCCAGGCGATCGCGTCGCCGTCAAAGGGAGCGACGGGCCCGCCACCACTAGTGTAGCCGGGCGCGCCAGACAGGAGCGCGCAGAGGGCTCCCTGTCCTGAACTGAGATCTGCTGGAGGAGGTCCCACGTGCCGATAGCGATGGCGAAGATGCTCCAGGGCCAAGCGCTGACCCGCGTTGGGGCTGACGTCGGAGCGGGAACCAAAACTGTCATACAAGTCATTCAACACGTCGATGCCCTCGGCCGCCCACTTGTCAGCATGAGCGGCACGAAGGCGGCGGCGGACCACACTACGAGAAGCAGGTCGATCGCAAAACGGCTGGTTCAGCGTCTCCAACGCGGGCAAGGGGAACAGGTCGCGCTGGCGAGCCTCCTCCATGACCGACAGAAGACGCGGCACCACGGGCGTGAAGGGCACGCGCGACGCAGGCTGCCCACACCTGCGCCGCGAGGCGCTCAAGCCTCTGCCCCCTGCCCTCGCTGGCCCTTCTTGCCTGGTCTCTTGGCTGAGGGCATGGGGAGGGCTCTCTCCTCACGAGCTTTGCGTCGCTCCTTCGCCAACGCGGCCTCCCGCGAGAGCTCAGCAGCAACGCGCGCCTGCAACAGCGGGCACGCGCACATATTCCCCCTCGAGAGCTGGTTCCCGAGGAAGAGGTGCCTGTCATAGGCCTCATCGTCCTGGTCGTCATTGAGCGCGTGCCTGTACCTCTCCTCCTGCACCTGCAGCGAGCGACACACCACATCGAATGAGACGAGCGAAGCCACATTAAGCTGGTCGTAGTCAACTCCCTCGTGCAGGATGCGACAGCACTCCTCGTGCTCCACCACTCCTCCTCCGCGTCCGTCAGCCTGAAGGTGGTCTTGAACAGGGTGTGCCGTCCAAGAGGGGTGCCGCCGTGCTCGCAAATGAAGCGGCACGCCCAGATGCATGTCCGCGGACCCGATAACCTCCAGTCTGGCCAGGGATACTCCACGAGGCGCAGAACCCCCTCTCTGAAATCGATGTGGCGCTGGCCCAGCATGTCGTAGGTGACGGCCAGCACCCTGGGGTCAGGCGAGGGGGGAGGCGCTCCAGCAGCTCCGCCTGCGGGCGCCATCGGGAGAGCAGGGATCCCCGCCACTCCAGGGACAGCAGCCGGCGCGGCCACAGCCGCGGCAGCCCCCGCAGCAGCCGCTCCAACTCCAGGAGCGACGCGTGGCGCAGGGGCCGCCGGCAGTGGCACTGCGAGCGCTCCTGGAACGGGAGGTACCACTGCAGGCCCAGCTCCAGCGGCTGCAGCTCCCCCAGCCGCCGCGGGCACCACCCCAGCCCCAGGCGGGCCTCCAAGGGCGGCGACCAGCGCGTCCACGCCCCCCGCAAGCCCAGCTGCGGGACCCACGCCACCAGCGCCGCCGGCGCCTCCCGCTGCCACGCCTGCGGCGAGGGGGCCTACAGCGGCACCAGGATCAGGAAGCCCATGCACTCCAGCAGGAACACCCAGCACGTTCCCATCGGCCAGCTCTAGATTCAGCACCGCGGTCGGGGGTCTAGGGAACCCCGCTGCCACAGCTCGACCAACTGCACTCCATACGTCCGCGGCCGATGGGAGCTGCCGAAATCTGTGAACATGTCCACCCGCGATGCCAGCGGCTGTCCCGCCCTAGCCTGTCAATCTAATCACCTCGGCAACGTCGGGCCCCGGTGCGTTCGCCTCCACGTAGTCGTCACCATCGGGGGTCGCGATGTACGACAAAGCGCCCCTCTCACCAAGCGTCAAGCGCTCGTGCCACAGCAGGGGCCCTGGGACGGGATACCTCACTAAATAGAACGAACCTGCCATCAATGAACCTGTTGATGCCGAAGCTTGCTAGCTCGAGCCTGAGCTGCCGCGAGCTCGCCAAAGTCGACCTCGAAGACAGAGGCAGCCGAGACCGCCTGAGCCCCGCTGTCCAGCCTTAGCCGTTCCCGTGCGATGCAAGCGCGGGCGCCTCGCTGCAATCCTCGAGCCAGCTGCAAGACACCTCGGATCACCAGCTTGCCTCCTTCCACCAGCAGCAGCCCCAACAACCCAATGCCGAGCTGCAACGTCCAGGAGGGCGACGACTCGCCTGCCGACGGGCAGGCCGGGCAAGGGGTACACGGCGATGGGCAACTATGTCCCTCGCAGGCCTCCACCGCAGCTGAGATGCACTCCGCCAACGGCACTAGGCGTCCAGAAGGCTCGCTGACCTCCAGGTGTGAGGAGCCTTCAGCAGCCGAAGGCGGCACCAGCGGCACAGCGACAGGCCCCACAGGCGTGAGCCACCAGCGCGCGAGGCCGATGGCACCGAAGTGTGCGAGGAGCGAGAGCCCAAGCCCACGGGCGAGCATGGGCTGGGGGCAGCTGTGCCCCCTCAAGACTTGAGCAAGTACGTCGACGGGACGTCGATGCGGCGATCATGCATCTGCTAGCACATCACTTCTGCTTGTTAAAAGCGGCCATATATATAAATATACATATATATACATATATATATATATATCCCTCTTGCTCTCTCGGTCTCTCTCTCGGTCTCTCTCTCTCTCTCTCTCGGTCTCTCTCTCTCTCTCTCTCTCCTTCTCTGCTCTTCCTCTAAACACTTACCCTGCCTCGCTTCTCTTTCTCGAATACTCTTGCATGGCATCGTCACAGTAAGCATAGCGTTAACCATATTCTGTACAAACCCGCAACTTGTGTGCTGGCACGTGAACTCTGAACCTGCACCAATTGTGCGGGGATGCGTGTAGATATTTGGCCCGCCATCCTTCACTTTCCTCCGAATCATGTCGCATGCCATTCCTCGCAAGCACAGCGACAATAATGACTGGAAGCGGTTTAGCAAAGCGGCCTTCCACTTGCCGCAACCGCCCCATTTGGCATTCGGGTCAAAGACCTGACCGACCAAGCAGTCAGGGCGGACGGAGCAAAGCTGCAGCAGCTTCGGCGCCACTCACAATGCACAACGCGCTTTGACTGACTGACGAAGTGCGGATGATCATAAACACGAGACATGATTGGACTGTCGGACTCAAGGTGGCGCTACTCTCTCATGATCCTGAAAAGGGGTGGCAACAGAGAGGAGGGAGAAGTGGAGGGAAGAGCGAGGGCTGGAGGGAAAGGAGTGAGCGGTGATATGGTCTGGCAAAGCATGCAATGAGGTTGTCTGCTCCCGCGCAGGGCGAGGCAAAGCTGCGTGGGCGGGCGAAGGGAATGAAACCATCCTCTGGGTAGGGCGCCGCTGGACAAAAAGACCGCTCCCCCCGGGTTGTCCAGCGATGGCCAGGGGTGTCAAGCGGGTGTCCCGTCGGTGTCCCTCAGTGAGGTCGACAGTGCGATCGATAATGAGATCGACTATGAGATCGATAGTGAGATCGATAATGAGATCGATCGAGTGAGACGCTGTTTCCTGCACCCCCGAACCTCTTATCACCCGAAGGATGGTCGCAATGGTAAGTACAGTGCAGTTCTGCAGAGATGAAAAGGAAAGCTGAGGGTATTTACATAATCTATGCCTGGAGAGAGAGAGAGAGAGAGAGAGAGAGAGAGCGAGCGAGCGAGCGAGCGAGCGAGAGAGCGAGAGAGAGAAAGAGAGGGAGATAGATAGATAGCCAAACAACAAACAAACGCAACAACAGATACTGCGTTCGACAGAGAGCTCGACATATTCGCTGAGCTCACCTGGACCTTCCAGGGAGAAGAACAAACGAAAGATCTGCCACCGCGCCCTGAGGCACGAGTTGAGTGTCCTCGGGTGCTTGGCCTCGTCCCCGAGGCCCCTGTCCCCAGTCCTGCGGGTGCCTCTCCGGGGGCCCAGGCCCCAAACCTCACAGCTCTCCTGGGGCTCGGCGCGCGCCCCCGGGGCTCCGGGGCGTGTGCGCCCCTCTCGGAACCAAGACATCCCCAAGACGGGCCGAGAGGGCTTCGGGATCCAAGAGGATGCCGAGTTGCCGAGCGATCGCTCCAAGACGCCCAAGATGGCCCGAAGTCGGGCCCCCAAGGGGCCCCAAGAGCCACAACTCATGGATTGTCCAGACAGGTTTTTGACGGTCGTCGGCGGTCTCGCCATCTCGGCTTCCCGATGCTCCAAGACTGCTCCCAAGGCGACCAAGCCAGCCCCAAGAGGCCCCCCAAAGAGCCCCAAGACGGCACAATATGGCTCCAAGACGGCTCAAGACGCCCCACAGACGGCCCAAGAAAGCCCCAAGACGGCCCCAAGAGGGGGACAAGATGGGGAGCCTGAACCGACAATTCGAGCCTTCCACCCCAAGATGCACCCACGATGCTCCAAGAGGCCCCCTAAGAGACCCCAAAAGGCCCCAAAGAGACTCCAAGAGCTCCCCCCCAAGAGGCCCCAAAGAGGCCCAAACGAAGACCCCAAACGGCCCCAAAGAGGCATCCGACCTGCTCCCAAGAAACCCCAACAGGCCCCTACGAGACCTCCAAGAAGCCCCCTAAGAGGCCCCCAGGAGGCTCCCAAGAGGCCGCCAAGAGGCATCCCACCATACCCTAGCATGCATCCAAGACGCCTCAAGCCCAGAACCCAGGCACGGTGGCGGGATGGGGCGAAGGCCATTAGAGCTGCTTAGCACAGGGGCGGAAAGCGCTTGTACTTCGCAAGGGCACGGGGTTGCCCCCGTAGCGTCTTGAAGCCCTCTTGGTGTTAAGACTACAGTGCGTATACAAAAAACAACAAACAAACCTTGTGACAATCCGCCGACCCCTCGGGGCTCATCGGCGTGTGAGATGCTTCCCCCTCCACAAACCCCTCCCCTGGAAGCCGGATTCGGCAGATTTGGATGGGGGTGGTCTATTCGGGCTCCCTGGGGGGGGTCCTTTGCTCCAGAAATTCTGCCGGGGGGGGCATCCAGGACTTGAAAACGGGCTACGAGGGCCGAGGGCCCCAAAAGACTTCCAAGACGGTCCGAGAAAGCCCCGAGTTGCCGAAACATCGTCCCAAGACGCCCAAGATGGCCTCCAGTCGGCCCAAAATGCCTCCAAGACGCCCCAAGAGGCGTCTAAGAGACCTCCCACCAGGGCCCCAAGAGGCCAAAATCGTTGATTGTCATATGGTTTTTCAGAAATGTTTGGCTTTCTCGCCTTTTCGGGCTTCCGACGCTCCAAGACGGCCTCAGACAGCCCCAGAGGCCCCAAAGACAGTTCCAAGACGGCACAACAGGCCCCCGAGAAGGCCCCAAAACGGCCCAAGAGGGCCCGAATCCGAGTCAAAAGGGCCTCAAGATAGCCCAGGAGGCCTCCAAGAGGACCCCAAGAGGGAACCAAGGGGACCACGAACCGAAAATTCCAGCTTTCCGCCCCAAGAGGCTCCCGGGATGCCCCAAGAGGCCCTCAAGGGCCTCCACGAGGCCCCCACGAGACCCCCAACAGCCACGAAAGAGGGCCCAAGAGGCGCCTCCAAGACGATCCAAGAGGCTTCGACGAGACCTTCCACGAGGGCCCCACGAGGCCAACATCCTTCATTTGCAATTGTTATCTCAAGGTTTTTGGCTTTCTCGCCTTTCGGGCTTCCGACGCTCCACAACGGCCCCCAAAACCCACAAGACCACCTTAAGACGGCCCGTCGGGCCCCCAAGAAGGTCCCACGACGGCCCAAGAGGGCCCGAACACGGGTCAAGAGGGCCTCAAGACAGCCCAAGAGGCTTCCAAGAAGGCCCCAAGAAGGGCCAAAGAAGCGGACCACGAACCGAAAAGTCAAGCTCTCCGCCCCAAGAAGCTCCCGGGATGGTCCAAGAGGCCCCCCAAGAGGCTCCACGAGGCCACCACGAGACCCCCACAGCCCCAAAAGAGGCCCCAAGAGGCTCCAAAACAGCCCCCCAGACTCCCAGAGGCCGCCAAACTGCCTCGGGAAGGCCCCAGCGACGCTTCTCACGAGATCCCACCGCACATCCAAGAGCCACAGCCCAAGCACGGTGGCGGGATGGGCCGAATGCCACCATGTCCGCCGCCCCCTGTCGATTCATCGCAGGGGTGCCTGGCGTGCTGAACCCTCTAGGTTTTGGTTTTGTTGTTTTCCCAAAGAACTCCCCCTGGGGCTTCGGCCCGTCCCGCCGGCCACCCGGAAGGCGCCCAATTCCCCAATGTTTTGCTCAAAATGGCCCAAGATGGCCTCCAAGATGGCCACGTTGGCCCAATTCAAGATGGCCTCCAAGATGGTCCAAGATGGCCTCCAAGTCCGCCCAAGATGGTCCAAGACGGCCTTCCGGACGGCCCAAGAGACTCCAAGACGGCCCAAGATGGCCCAAGAGGCCCCCCAAAGGCCTCCAAGACGGCCCAAGAGGCCTCCAAGAGGTTCTCCAGGAGGGCCCGAAGAGGCCCAAAACACTTATTTCCCATGCGTTTTTGAAGGATTTTGTCATTCGCTTTCCGACGACGCAAGACGGCCCAAGGGGCCCCCAAGATCGCCCCCACAGCGCCCAAAAGGCCTCCAAGATGGCCTCAGGACTGCCCAAGAGGCCCCCAAGACGGCCCCAAGAGGGCCCAAGAGGACCCAAGAGGCCCCCAAGACGCCCAAGATGGCCTCTAAGACGGCCCTGGAGCACCCCAAGAGGGCCCCAAATCGGCCCAGAAAGGCCCCCCAAACGGCTTCCGACGGCGTCAGACGGGCCAGGAGCCCACCAAGATGGCCGAAGTTGTCTCGAAGCTGGCCCAAGACGGCCCAAGAGGCCTCCAAGAGGGCCTCAAGAAAGAAAGGCCAGAAAAGGCCAAAAACAATGATTTCCCTTAGGTTTTCGAAGGATTCTGACATTTGCTTCGTTTCGGCCTTCCGACGGCCCGATACGGCCCAAAAGCCCCCAAAGATCGTCTCCGCCGCCTCCTGTCGATTCATCGCAGGGGTGCCTGGCGTGCTGAACCCTCTAGGTTTTGGTTTTGGTCTTTTTTCCCAAAGAACTCCCCCTGGGGCTTCGGCCCGTCCCGCCGGCCACCCGGAAGGCGCCCAATTCCCCAATGTTTCGCTCAAGATGGCCCAAGATGACCTCCAAGATGGCCACGTTGGCCCAAGATGGCCTCCAAGATGGTCCAAGATGGCCTCCAAGTCCGCCCAAGATGGTCCAAGACGGCCTTCCGGACGGCCCAAGAGACTCCAAGACGGCCCAAGATGCCCCCCAAAGGCCTCCAAGACGGCCCAAGAGGCCTCCAAGAGGTTCTCCAGGAGGGCCCGAAGAGGCCCAAAACACGTATTTCCCATGCGTTTTTGAAGGATTTTGTCATTCGCTTTCCGACGACGCAAGACGGCCCAAGGGGCCCCCAAGATCGCCCCCACAGCGCCCAAAAGGCCTCCAAGATGGCCTCAGGACTGCCCAAGAGGCCCCCAGGACGGCCCCAAGAGGGCACAAAGAGAGCCCAAGAGGCCCCCAGGCCTCTAAGACGGCCCTGGAGCACCCCAAGAGGGCCCAGAAAGGCTCCCCAAACAGCTTCCGACGGCGTCAGACGGGCCAGGAGCCCACCAAGATGGCCGAAGTTGTCTCGAAGCTGGCCCAAGACGGCCCAAGAGGCCTCCAAGAGGGCCTCAAGAAAGAAAGGCCAGAAAAGGCCAAAAACAATGATTTCCCTTAGGTTTTCGAAGGATTCTGACATTTGCTTCGTTTCGGCCTTCCGACGGCACGATACGGCCCAAAAGCCGCCAAAGATCGTCAAAGAGGCATCCAAGATGGCCCCAGAACGGCCCAAGAGGCCCCCAAGACACCCCCAAGAGGCCCCCAAGACGGCCCAGGAGGCTTGTAAGACGCCCAGGATGGCCTCCAAGACGGCCCTGGAGCATTCCAAAAGGGCCCCCCCAAACGGCTTCCGACGGCGTCGGACGGGCCAGGGGCCCACCAAAACGGCCGATCATGGCACTAAGATGGCCCAAGACGGCCCAAGAGGCCTCCAAGAGGGCCTCCAGGAAGGCCCGAAAAGGCCAAAATCATTGATTTCCCATGAGTTTTTGAAGGATTGTGGCATTTGCTTTTTGTTCGGCCCGAGACGGCCCCAGTGCCCCCAAAGATCGCCCAAGAGGCCCCCAAGACACCCCCAAGAGGCCCCCAAGACGGCCCAGGAGGCTTGTAAGACGCCCAGGATGGCCTCCAAGACGGCCCTGGAGCATTCCAAAAGGGCCCACCCAAACGGCTTCCGACGGCGTCGGACGGGCCAGGGGCCCACCAAAACGGCCGATCATGGCACTAAGATGGCCCAAGACGGCCCAAGAGGCCTCCAAGAGGGCCTCCAGGAAGGCCCGAAAAGGCCAAAATCATTGATTTCCCATGAGTTTTTGAAGGATTGTGGCATTTGCTTTTTGTTCGGCCCGAGACGGCCCCAGTGCCCCCAAAGATCGCCCAAGAGGCCCAAGACGGCCCCAAGAGGCCCCCAAGACGGCTCAAGAGGCCTCCAAGACGCTCAAGATGGCCTCCAAGACGGCCCAAAAGCCCTCCAAGACGTCCTCCAAGAAGGCTCGAAAGGGTCAAAATGGCCTCCAGGCGGCCAAAGTGACCTTCAAGATGCCCACGTGTTCCCCGCAGGCTTTCCAAACCGATTCGGGGAACACGTGGTCCGATAGCTTGGCAGGTCTGGCCTCAACGTTCGGCCGCATAGGAGTTTCCAAAAAAGGCAGGGGGCGGCGGTGATTCGCCGTAGGCGTCTTCGATACAAATACAAACATAATTCACGCACCGGTTGAGCTGGGATGGTATAAATTCAAACTTAGGACGGACGATGGGAATTCAAGCAGGCCGACTGCGGCGTTGTCGCTGGGACCTGCGTCAGTATTCCTTCTGGATATACACCCCCTGCTCTACCCGACCAACGACAAACCCGGGGCTGTGTGGGCATTGTGCACGGTTTCGGGGAAATCTCGCGCTTTGAACTTCCCGACGCTCGCAGAGGACCCGCAAGGCTCCCACGACGGCCCCACGACGGCAGCTGCGACCTCCACGACGCCCACAGAGGCGCCCAAGACCAACTCCAAAAGAAAACCAGCCAAAGGACACGATCGGACACTTCGAGCCCTCGGCCCCAAGAAGACCACAGGATATCCCACCAGAACCCCCACAAGTCTGACACGAGGCCCCCACCGGACGGCATCTACTACACCTCCAAGGGGTCGGCGGTGGGGCGTAAGCCCGAGAATCCACGTCCGGAGGTGACGTGCTGAGCGGCAACGTTTTTCGGCGAACGCCTTAACGCAACGTGTCCAATGTATCCCAAGATTCCATAATATCAACATATTGTATAGTGTTACATTATTATGTATCCCTCCCTAACCCCCCCCTGGGAGCTGCGCCACACCGCCGGACCAAGATGACCCCCCCCCTTCTGGGGCCCTAAAAACCTACAAAAACCTATGACAAAATCAGCACATTCGGCCTCTTGGGCCTCTTGGGGCTCCAAGAGGGCCTCATGATGGCCCAAAATGGCCCCAAGACGGCCCAAGACGGCCCAAGATATTCCCAACGGGGGCCCATGAGGCCCCCAAGACGGCCCCAACAGGGCCCCAAAAGCTCCAAGGAAGACCCAACAGGGCCCAAGAACGCCCATAACTGCGCCTCCAGAAGCCAAAATCATTGATTGTCCTATGGTTTTTGCGATATGTTAGCGTTCTCGTCTTTTTCAACTTTCACAAATCCATGACGGCCCAAGCAGCTTCCATAATCGCCCCAGAACAACCCAAAAAAA